TTTACACTTTATAAGTGTCCTGTGCATACTGTATAATGACTACACTTTCTATTGAGCTCTATGCATCAGACATTAGACAGTTACATTGTGGCCCCTACAGGAAGAATGACTCTTGAAGCCAACTGTATAAATTAAATAGAAAGCCAGGGACTGAAAATAGGCACCATGTTAGGCACAGAGAATTTACTGCTTGAGAATAGGCCTCACTGACAGCGACATAACTCTGCTGTGACAGCGTATTTAAAACAGTGATTATTTCTAGCTACACTTGCCTCGCTTGTAAGAACCCTTAAGCCCTTTATTCAATTAGACGATCTCATAAAATCGGAATATTCAGTGTATGTTTTGATCTGTTCCTACACATGTTGCATGAGTTTTGTTATTAATTGAAGTAAATTTTGTGATGTTTAGAGTAGATAGAACTAAGCTTGTTAGCTGGACCGGAAAAGTGAGTTTACATGCCCAGCAATAATAGAGTTACAGCTGGGGTTTTTTGCATAGTGGAGCTACAGTCTTCATCGATCTCTCCAATTATACATGAATATTTGCGTTGCAAATTACTACAGTGGTGAGGTCACTTGGTGTCAATTAACGTGGATAACGTCATGTACACTTACATTTACATGTATTATTTAGCTGACACTTTCATCCAAAGCGACTTACAATTGCTATATATGTCAGAGGTTGCACGCCTCTGGAGCAACTAGGAGTTAAGTGTCTTGCTCAGGGACACATTGGTGTCTCGCAGTGGATTCGAAGCCGGTCTCTCGCACCAAAGGCATGTGTCTCATCCACTGCGCCATCTCCACACAATACTTTTTTCCAAAGTTAAGTCATCTTGGTCAGTATTTTTTATTAAAGAATACTTTTTTCAGCAAGGATGGATTCAATTGCTCAAAAGTAGCAGTAAATACATTTATAATGTTACAAAATGAAATATATTAGAATAAATGGATAATAATCAAAGGATCCTGAAAAAAGTATCCATTTCCACCAAATTATTAAGCAGCACTGTTTTCAACATTGATAATAATAAGAAATGTTTCTTGAGCACCAGAAAATCACAGGAATAAATTACATTTTAAAATAGATCATATTTAACAATATTACTGTTTAATTGTATTTTTTAACAAATAAATGCAGCCTGGGTGAGCATAAGAACCTTTCAAAAATATTAAAAACTCTATTGAACAGTATTCAGTAGTGTAAAATACCGTAGTGTTTATTCTTCATTGTTAAAGAAACAGAGAATGGTGTTTATGGGTCTGTGTATCATAGCACAAGACTTCTCTCACTGATAGGAGTACAAACAGAAGTGTTGTTTCCACAGAAAACAAACTAAGCTCGTGCCTTGAAAAACACTTGTAGGGATGCACAAAAAGTTTTATTTTGTGGGAAATGAGAGTTAAGTCATTTCCCAGTTCTCTGCTATTTCGATGACTGCGATGACTATTTCTTTCATTTAGATCAAATTGTTATTGATAAAACAAGAATGTGATGACTGAGACTTGGAAGAGCAAACAAAAGGCCACAAAATCCTCAAATGAGTGTAGCGTCACTGTGAAAACTTTACCAACCCACTCGACTTCACCCACACTTCCACTGACTGACTTTCAGAGGAAACTCATCACCATACACCCCACCCTCCCGCCCTTCCTCTTCACTGGCAGCGAAGTGAAGGTTTGGTTCCTCTCCTCGCGTCAGCACTGCTGCCGTGGCTGTCGCTGGGATCTAATCTGGACTTGATTAGACAGCCGAGATCTCTCATGCTGTGCGTGTGTGTGTACATACACAGACTCTGAGTCACTTCAGCTGTCTGTGTATAAGGGAGGACTGGACCAGGGGTGGGGGGACAGGGAGCATCTCCCTGAGGGAGTGGAGGATTCTGGTGTGTTATGACCAGCCCATTGCTGCTATTTGTGGAGTCTAGCCCCTTTGTGACAAGTGTAATGTAACGTGTAAAGTCTTAAATGAAGTACAGTATATTTCATTATATTTCTTATGTTTTATATGAATTAAAAATCACATTGAACCACATTGTAAAACTGTTTTATTATTATATGCAAAATAATGGTCATAAATACGGTCAAACCAGGAGTAACTAACTAAACATAGCATCCGTAGTAACTTAATGTTTTTAAGCAACACGTTTTTTCAGCGATTGGCGTTTCACCAGTTTGTGCAACCAAGTACTAATCTTTTTTTTTTTTTTCTGTCTGAGCTGAGGAAATCACACTCAAATGTGGCATTGGAAAGTCAGATTCATTCTAATGAATTGAATAATCCAAAGCGATTCTTTCATTTATGTGACTTTGAAAAGAATGATACATTTCTAGTGAATCAGATTGTCCTAAGCGATTCTCTCCCTTATATGTGGCATTGGAAAGTCTCATTTATTCTAGTGAATCCGTTTGTTCAGATGAATCTTGTAAATGAGCTGATTTGAGTTCCTACATGGCAATTTAAATCAGTTTTTTTTTTCACTTTTCCATCAGTCACATTATACTTTAGTGAATATTGTAGTTCAAGTTTGATGTTCATTCATCCATTTTTTTTAAATAAATTTATAATTTTAGTCAGTAAGTATACATTAAATTGATCAAAATTTACAGTAAAGACATTGCAAAAGATTTCTATTTCAAATTAAGGCTTTCATTTTTCGAACGTTCTCATTACTATGGTTATCTTTAGCCATCTATGGCTTTACTACAGTTTAACTACTTCAACTATCTTGTAGCTTGAAAAACTAGCTTCCCCAAAACTAACAAAAACACTCACATATGTATAGTATCAATGAGAAGTATGACGTCCGTCCATTTTTCCACTGAGCGATAGTGTCAGAGGGAACGGAGGAAGATTGTTTTCCCTCCGTCTTCTCCCCTTCTCTTTCCGCTATCTGATGGAAAACAGATAGAGAAAATATTCACTGTCAGTAAGTGTGTTTTGCAGAAAGGAAAAATGTACAAATGTTTGTTTATGGTTAGGAGTGCTGCTTGGCAGCATCTAAAGCGCTGAGCTGGCTGTGAAGATTGAAAAGGTCTCTCTCTCTCACTCACACACACACACACACACACATATACAGTTGGAAGAGAATAGTTTGATGTGAGCATAATATTCTCTGAGATGTGAAGCAACGCCACGGCCAGCAGCTGTGAGATGTCTGCTGAGTTTACAAGGGCCTGAACAGCATAAGATGAGAGCCAGTCCACCGCTAATGTGAAACTTTAAGGGAAGAGAAGTGTGAAATTCAGTTTGGATTTGAATCGATTGAGGGAAGAGCTGCAAACAACAGGGATACTAAAACAGTAGACTTCTGTTAAAAAGAAATGTGCTCCTTGAATTCGGAGAAACCAATAATCACACATACATATGTTTTCATTTATGCACTAACAAAGCCAACAAATGCATTTTAAGGGTCTTGTTTCACTGTTCTTTTGTGACCATCTTATACAAACCTGCAGTCAGCTTTTCCTGTTCTCAAATTGACCAACAGATACTGTTGCGTGTTGGACATTCCATTCTCTTTGGCTGTCACGTTAAGCACTAATAGATATTTAGGATGTGAGCCGAAGCTCAAGGGGCCTGATAATGGAGCTGGTTGTCTTGTCAAAGGGAGCCTCCTCATGCAGCAGGATTTATTAATGACAGCATCCCACTGATGTCGAGATTTAGGAAAGCTCTTCTGTGGTGTCCCAGTGATTAAAGCGGCTCTCCTCTCTCTCCACAGGTAGGCAAGCTGATCCAAGAAGCAGCAGGAAAGAGCAATCTGAAGAGAGTCACGCTAGAGCTCGGGGGAAAGAGTCCCAACATCATTTTTGCAGATGCTGATTGTAAGTATTCAGACACTGTTTTACGGCCGCCCTCCTGTTGTCCCGCTGCAACAGTTTGTGCACAGGTGCTACCCCAGAGACCTTCTCTCTGTCACTTCACATCAAAGACCCTTAGGGATCTTTTAGCGCTGCGTCAGGGCAAAAAAGCATATATTTCGGAAAGGCCCACATACATGCAAATAAGCTTATCTCACTTCCTAAACTTCTGGTCCTTAGTATCTCTAAGTATCCCACCAAACCTCGCATAAGTCTGAGCTTTAAATGTTTTCAGCAGCCGTGAGCAAGGCCCCCCGTAAATCAGCCGAATGGACCCTGTCCGGACCCATCACACCACAGCCGTAAATCTGCCTGCTCCATTAACCCTTCAAAAGCCACAGCCTGCCAGTCCACCCTTTCCCCAGGTGTCCATTATCTCACACAGATGCACATACTCACATGTATGTATGCATAAACAGCAGACACACCAGAAGAACTATAATCTGTTAAAAAATTACTTTGAAAGACTTATTGAAATGTAGGAAATACAGACCCGATTTATTTATCGTCTGTTGTTTGGGCTGTTATTTAAATAAATTATTTATTGTTTAATAATGTGCTTTCTTTCTGTTTCAGTTGAGTTGGCAGTCGAACAGGCCCATCAGGGTGTTTTCTTCAACAACGGTCAATGCTGCACCGCTGGTTCCCGTATTTTTGTGGAGGAGCCCATTTATGATGAGTTTGTGCGAAGGAGTGTTGAGAGAGCTCGGAGAAGGACACTGGGAAATCCCTTTGACCCAACCACTGAGCAGGGACCTCAGGTAAGACCCAATTCATTTCCTAAAACAATAAAAAAAGAGAGAAAATATATAAATCATAATTTACTACTGTTCAAAAGTTTGGGGTCAGTATTTTTTTTTTTTTTTTAAGAAATTTGAAATTTTATTCAGCAAGGATGCATTAAAATTGATCAAAAGTGTCATTAAAATGCATTTAGATGTTCAAAGATATCTATTTAAAATAAATGCCGGTGACATTTTTTTTTTTAAAATTTAAACAGCACAACTGTTTTCAGTATTGATAATAAGAGCATATATATATATATATATATATATATATATATATATATGCATATCCATATACAGGGTTTGACATTGACACCCACCAACCTGTCAAATGCAGGTGGATTTCAGCTGTGGCGTGTAACACCAGCTACAGTTCCAGCCACTTTGGCGGATTTAATTTTGTATATCTACATTTTTCAGTTGTAGTCTTTTAAAAGGACCTCTGAAATAATAAACCAAGTGCATTGTAGTGTTATAAAAAATACAGATTTTCCGATACATATCGATACGGAAATATCGGAAACGCTCCCAATAGTAAATTGTAAATAGTCCCAATAATAAACTTATGCAAAATTATGAGATAATAGAAAAAAAATATATATATGCCAGTTTTTCCCCATGGTATCGATATTAAAATTGTGGCCAGTGAAAATGCTGAGTAGCTAGTAACTTTGGAAAACCACTAACCACAGTGCCTTGTAAGCAAAAAAGTTAATGTCAAGCCCTGTATATGTGTGTGTGTGTGTGTGTGTGTGTGTGTGTGTGTGTGTGTATATATGGGGCTTCACATTAAATGTCAAACCCCAATTATATATATATTTTTTTATATATTTGTATATATATATATATATTTAGAAAGTGCATATACTGCAAAATCTGAGAGTTCCATCAGAATTTAAGCAAAAAGCTGTATATTGAACCATTAATAAACAGACAAGACAAAATATATATTATCTGCATAATCTAAGCATTTTATTATTTAAAAGTTTTGTTGCCTGTTACTAAATTTCCATATAACCACAGTAAAAAAAAAAAAGTTCATCTCTGTTTGACTGTGTCAGGTGAGTCTGGAGCAGCAGAGACGTGTTCTGGAGATGATTCAGTGCGGCATCACTGAGGGAGCCAAACTGGAGTGTGGCGGCAAAGCTCCTCCTTCTAAAGGCTTCTTTGTGGAGCCCACGGTCTTCTCCGATGTACAGGACCACATGCGCATTGCCAAGGAGGAGGTACGTTTTCTTTATCTCAGAATAATACCTCTAAATTCTAATGTCAAAGTATAATAATAATAATTTTTTATTGTAGATATTTGGGCCAGTTCAGCAGATCATGAAGTTTAAAACGATTGAAGAAGTGATCGAGAGAGCCAACGACACAGAATATGGTCTGGTAGCAGCAGTCTTCACCAGAGACATCAACAAGGCCATGACAGTCTCTGCAGCTGTGCAGGCCGGCACTGTCTGGTAAGAGTTATATCATATCACCACAAAATGGAAAGCAACACCATCCACTTGTTTTGTATGGGTCCCTGATATTATTGGGTTATACATTCACATTTACCTTTTGTTTGCTAAATTTTCATGGGTCATTTAAAGAGGAATTGTGTTTGGGAGGGCAAAAGATTTCTCTAATATGTGATCGCATCTTTAACCACGGAAGTTTTTTTTAAATAAATTCACAGAATGGAATGTAACATCATGAAATCACCAAGATTGTGAAATGTCTTTGTTGTACAGGATTAACTGTTATAATGCCCTGACATGCCAGTGTCCTTTTGGAGGATTCAAAATGTCCGGCAATGGTCGTGAACTGTAAGTGCATTTAAGGATATAAGGTAATAATCGTGTTTTCTATACATCCTTGTTTGCGCTGACACCGTTGTTCTCTTTTTTCCAGGGGTGAGATCGGACTGAAAGAGTACACAGAGGTGAAAACAATTACGATGAAGTTGTCAGGAAAGAACTCTTAAAGCACAAACATGTACGTTCCTAGCAGCGTGAAGAAGTCTTCCTCTGAGGTTAACCACTACCCTTTATCCTTCGGTTGTCTATAGTGGTAAAATGCCACACACAGTAACCACCCATCACTTCTGCATTGGAGCACCTGTTCTGCTGTTGTCATGAACTACCCTTCATCTTCATCCCGCGTCCACCACCGTCACCATTAACTGCCTACACCCATTCCAGCTGTGACCTCCCTTCGCCCGGCTCCACTAACCATACTAAAGCACTCGGAGTCCCGGTGAAGGAGGGCTACACATTAGGCCACTGCACCAGCAGCATGCAGACATTAACAGACTGTGACAGCTCTCTCTGATGATCTCCTATGTTAAGTGTTTTTATACACTGACTAAAAGGAGGTGTCATTCTCAAACCTCATTATTAACTTACCTTTCCACTGGGTAGAAATCAAGTAGGTATATTTGTTTTTTACTAAGACCACTGAAGCTCTCAGATAAAAGATGTTTTCGTTGAATGAGTATTAATTCTAAAATTTGTGTAATTGCTTTATGTGTTTATTTTTTCATTTTATTCTTTGATTGTTTTTACAATGTATAACTTTGTCGATGTCTTGACCAATGTAAGCAAAAATGATTTACCTCAAAAAAGAAAGCAGAAAATCAGTGGTGTGTATTTTTGACAAATGATTCCTCATTGATGCCCATTTATTGTTAGGTTTAAAGAATTATGTACTATAGAAGTTAAGATATAGAGATAATTTCTTCATTAAAATGTTTTACTCAAAGTATTCTCTTGAAGGTTATTTTCTAACCGCTTGTTACAGAATTACGTCTGGAAAAAGATGACAAGGGGGGAAAAAAGACAATACCCGCCCAAAAATAGTTTCATTTTGTAAGATTTATGTTATTTCTGCCTCAGTTGTTGTATTTTTCAGATAACTGTGTATTCAGACTTGTGTCAACCAGGGTGAGAACAATCTGAGTCAGAGATTGTTTGGTAAGAGCTCTTTAGATATGAGCAGTACGTTCCAGATAAAAAATAAGCACCCAGTAGTGCTACTACATTAGAAGTCACATTCCCAAAGAAACATAGTCACAATGGATTTTCCCAGCAGCATCTGTAGTCAGACCAACCCGAATGATGAAAAAGACTTGGCTACATTACACAGCCTTGGTCTAGATCTCTGGAAGAGCAGAAAAGGGCAGCTCAGAGCTTTGAACTAGACCACAGAAAGACCACTACAGAGATAGTGGATCACATGGAAATGAGTCTGAACTGTTTCCTTATGAATTAGTGTGACAGCGTTTGAAGAACAAAAGTGGGTTGTTTCACCTCAAAGAGTGTTGCATGTTTTCATCAAGTGTGAACCAATCGACACAGGAAAGTGTTGGACGGTTGCAGGCGAAAAGCCTTACAAGGATTGTTTAATCCATTTGACGTTGTTGCACAATGGTGTCATCGACCCTTCCCTCCTTAGGAGTCTGTTGAATAGTATTTATAATTCTCTGGAGTCTCATATGATTACAGTGTACCAAGTTCACACCAATATTTTCTACGTGGCAGTAGTGTAAAACCGCTGCTCTTTAGTAAGGAAAACATGATAAATCAATAAATAGCGTTATTACAGACTTTATGTGTGATTCTTAAGGGTGTATTTTCGTTTTTATGACCCTGGTAGTGCATAGTGAATTCAAATGAATATTAACTTTCTCACAGCCTTACAAATTTATCTTTTTTTTTTTTCAATGTGAGAATGATCACTGCTCCTTTGGGGTCCTGATTTCAATCATCTTGGACTCTGCCCAAGGTTAAATGGTATCTATCATGATCAGAATTCCAATATCTCTCCTCAGAGACATACATTTATTAGATGAAACACTTATGGAGTCTGATAAGTATCATTCACTGATCATTAGCCTATGCTCTTTTAGAGGATTTATGATCAAAAAGATCCATATAACCTTCCCATCTACTGAACTAGAGGACGAATTAAGCATTTGTGTATGTCTTAAATACGCCCTGGCATGTTTTTCCAATACAATTCATCTTCTCTAAATATCTATGGATTTTTCTACACTTTGCCAAATAGTTCATAAAACTAATGCGTGTCACATTTATAAATGCAGATGTTATAAAATGAGATTGCAACATTAGACGCTAGAATGTGTTCATTTGTCTTCATCAAGATAAGCGGTGAAAGCTAAACTGGTGGGAACCGGAGAACTGCAGCACACTTTACAAGCTCCTCCTCCAGAGGGAGACACTTTCTCCCCTTCTGCCAAATCTAAGAGATCAGTTGTAATCATACAGTAGTGTGTTTGGGCCACTTTAAAATCCCACTTTCAGTTTATTTCATTCCCTCAGGAAGGATAAATCCCTTATGAGAGCTCTTAAATTTCTCAATTGTTTCTCCTAGATATCAATGAGGTTAAATTTAATAGTGTTTAGATATCCCTCCTCTCTCCAGATAAAAAGACTTCAATAATCTCCTCAAGAGTTTCGGAAAAAAATCTCAACGTGCTCAATGGGCCGAGATAACAACGCGTGCAATCCAAAATCAGAGTGTGAACACAAACATTTGACATTATATTCTTTCAAGTACCAAATAGTATTAAATGTATAACCATATACAGAATTTCATTTTTTACTTTCTTTTCCCTTAGTCATAACATAATCATCTGCCATTTCTAAACCCGTCTTCCCATTGTTGCGTGACCAATTAATAAGCAAGACAAAATGAAAGGGCAGTGAAAAAGAAAAGCACTTAAAGCATGTTGGGCTCTGGCCAGTTTCAGTTGGACCTCTGCTCCCTTAGTTGGGAGTTAGCTAGTTTCCTCTTTCCTCTGACATCACTCCTCAAGTCTCAAGCAACAATAATACGGCCCCAATTGCATGACATTATAGCTTCCTTACATGCACATGGGAGGGCCGGAGCTGAGGTCCCTCCTGACCGCAGACGTACTGCACTTAATTCCCAGCTAACCAGCTGCACAGCTGTTGCATGGGAGAAACACGAATGGATAAAGAGATTCCAGTCTGTTTCGGGGAGAAAAAGTTTCCTAACAGAGCACTTCCCATCTCTGTGCAGTCCATGTACCACTGTTAAAAATGCAGCGCAGCTGTGTTGTGGTCCCAAAGGCATATTTTAGACTAAAAGTACACTGTCGATAAGGGCACCTGCAATTAAAATCAGGAAGCAGATGTATTAATGACAATGGATTCACAGGCCAAACCATATTTTTAGTGCTTATGTTCGTATTTTTATTCATGAATTGTTAGCAGCATCTTACTCGTAAAACAAACTGTATTTTTATGAGAAAAATACTTGGAATTTGATACGCAACATTAAAACTAGATCACAAGTGTCTGAAATGCAATCACTAAAGATACGGCCAGATGAATTACAATCGTGTTTTTTGTTTTGTTTTGTTTGTTTAACAGAGCAATAAATCTACACCAGCCCAAAGCTCCCAAAGGAGTCTGGTACCTCAAAAATTAAGAACATTGATTTTTGAAATCAGGACTTTTCATTGCATTCTTTGATCTTAATTTGTTGTTTTAGCAAAATTTACAAATGCGAGCCAAATGCTAAAGCATGTGCCAATACATGCACAAACACAGAGTCAACAAAATGCACCTTGTGTGTGTGTGTTTGTCTTAATGTCGTCCAGATGTTCTTGGGGCACATGGAAACAGGTGATGATAGCATTAGCCTGGGATTGGACACAGATGGAAAGGGGCTTGAACCTATTCCTGTATCAACACCGGGATCGTAAATAATTCTTTTTCCCTCAGAATGATGAAAATGATTTCAAAGTGAATTATGCTCGGCCAACTCTCTGTGTTGTATAAACTCGCCATACCAAGGGTCCTCTCTCTGCGTTAGATCATCAGTCAAGAAAAACATATCATTCATGTCTTTCTTTGTCACATTCTCACTTTAAGGCTGAAAGATTGGCTGGTCCTTGAGGGACAATATTATCACATTTAGGGGGTCTGGTCTGAAAACAACATGACTGAGATTATCCTGCCAAGGTTTTGTATGACCATCCAGCCAGAACCTGCTCATATCCTATAGGCCTATATATAAGTATAAAAATAAGTATATTTTTAAAGTGACAGTAAAGAAATCTATAATCTTACCAAAGATTTCTGTTTCAAATAAATGCAGTTCTATTCATCAATGAGTAAAAGATAAGAAATGTTTCCTGAAAATAGTTAAATTGTAATATGTCACAATATTACTGCCTTTGTATAGTGTTTTTTCAAACAAATAGCCTTGGTGAGCACAAGTGATTTCTTTTAAAACCCCCAAACTTGAATTTCTGATATAACCCTGTTTCATTCCAAACACAGCTCTTACCCTCTCTCTATAGTTCATGTCATGCTTGTAATATGAAGGATTGTTTCCAGTCTGGCCACGGTGGAAACAAGCTTTCTGCGTAGTTTTAAAACTAATCAATTATGATTGGATGGCTGGTGGGTCAGTCTGTTGGGACGAAGGAAAGAGCCACTACATGTGTCAAAGCATTGAGTGAGGATGGACATAAAGCAGAACAGAGAAATATGTCCAAACTCTGTAATTACACCTCTCAAGAGACAGGGATACTTGAGTGTATGAACAAGATCTGTCAAGATCTCTGAGCACGGTGTATTTGTACAAGTCACAGCCGATTGTGCAGTAACTCAAAACACCATTAAGGTTAATATAATTATCTTGTGCAAGAAGCATTATTGTTAGATTATCAAGGTGCTTTCAATTTCGCCCTCACAATCATAACTTGATATGGAGCGAAGCACATAAGTAAGAAAGACAGAGACTTCAGAGCTCATCAGTTCTATTGAAATGGGCAGTTCATGTAATTACTCTATCACGGCTTCCATGGGACCCTCCCCCATGTCACCTTAACGTTGAGCCCCCATCCTCACACCCCGCATGGGCAGATCAACAGCAGAACCCACCATGAAAGCACCCCAAATGGGGCAGCACAAAGTCTATGTGGCAACCATTTGGGAAGAGGGTCGTTCACTGTGATGGATGCATAAGAAAGCAACACGTTGTCCCAGCAAGGTGCCGCGGAGCTGCGCTCTACTTCAGCCACCTTTTAACCACCACATCACAGTGTGAAATGATTCATTTGCGTTGGCAGACGGCCGTATATCCATGGCAAGACAGAAATCCCTGTTCTAAATCTCACACCCACTGTTACATGTTTATGCAGCTGGATTGTTTTATTGGGCCAATTAAATGAAGTTGTGATAATTGAGCATAAGTATCAGGGTGGGGACCAGGGTCAGTCCAGCTGTCAACTGCTGGGCTCAATGAAATCCTAAACAAAGCTCTTTACACCTGTGCTCTTTAAATATTACAGCTGTGTGACGAAAAACAATAGGGAGGAATTACCCGAAGAGAAAGCAAATGTTGGTTTTGAGTCATAGATGGTATAACCAGTTCTGGGCTCTTTGAAGACACCCTACATTGGCAGGGAAGGCGCTTCAGTAATTTTGCGTTCAGGGGCATGAAAGCATCAACTCATTTCCTGCACATCTCATCCTGATCATATCCCAGCAAAGCCCATGACTCACCCTGCAAAGGACGCAAAAGTGGTGTTTGTTTGGAGCTCGGCAGGCCAAGGGATCTCCCAGCGGAGCACAGAAAACTCACACAGCTGCCTGAAAGCTCACTAATTGCGTTTCCGTCCCCCTGTGATAGCAACCATATAGCAGACTTTTGAGCATTTCCACACCGTCACAAAGATCATTATGAATTCAGCATTCTTGTTAAAA